CGGTATCACTTATTTTTACCTTATGTTGAGTTTTGTTTCATCTTTCTGATGGTTCCTCCTATTGATTTTAATTTTTACTTACAACTTCACTAATGTGAAAATATGCTTAATAGGAATGTAAATGTAAAGCCCATATGAGATTGTGTGCTGTCTTGGGGAGGGTGGGGAGGGAGGAAGGGGGATAAAATTTTCAACTCAAAAGCATATGGAAGTGATATTGATAAATCAAAATAAATTAATAAAATTTTAAAAAGATAGGCATATAAAAAAGGAAATAGATAATAAAAATATGCTAGATGAATAAAATTTGAAAATGTTAGATATGATATATCTTTGGACAAAATTAAATGGGAATGGAAAGGAGTATACTTCTTACTCAACAGTTCATGGCATCTACACAAAAATTGACAATGTCTTAGGATACAAAAACCATCACTCAAATGCCAGAAAAGCAGAAAAAATAAACACATATATTTCAGGTCATAATGCAATAAAAATTACTTCAATAATGGAAAACGGAAAGAAAGATTAAAATTTAATTGGAAAATAAATCATCTTATTCTAAAAAACGTGGGTCAAAACATCATAGAAACAATTGGCAATTTCATTAAAATGACAACAATGAGAGACCATACCAAAATTTATGGGATGCACCCAAAGTGCTAGCTAGGGAAACTTCTATCTCTAATTGCATATATCAATAAAATATGGAAAGAGCAGATCAGTGAATTAGACATGCAACAAAGAAAGAAAAAAAAACTAGAAAAAGAACAAATTAAAAATCCCCAATTAAACACCATATTGGGAATCTTGAAAATCAAAGAAACATTAATTAAAATGACAGTAAGAAAACCACTGAACTAAATAAATAAATCTAAATAAAATTAGAAACTGATTTTATGAAAAAGCCAATACAATATATAAAACATTGCTTGATTTTTATTTAAAAAGGAAAGAAGAAAAACAAATTACTAGTATCAAAAGTGAAAGGGATGAATTCACCAGTACTAAAGTGGAAATTAAGGCAATTGTTAGAAGCAATTTTACCCAATTATATACCAATAAATTTCACAATCTAAGTGAAATGGATGAATATCTACAAAAATATAAATTACCCACACAAAAATATAAATTACCCATATTAACAAAAGAAATACAATGCTTGAATAACCCAATCTTAGAAAAAGAAATTGAACAAGCCATCAGGGAATTTCCTAAGAAAAATTCCTCAGAACCACATGGATTCACAAGCAAATTCTACTAAACATTTAAAGAACAATTAATCCCTATATTGTGTAAACTATTTTGGAAAAACAGGAGGAAGAGTCCTACCAACTGCCTTTTATGACACAAATATGGTGCTGATACCTAAATCAGGAAGAGCCAAAACAGAGAAAACAAATATAGACCAATTTCCCTAATAAATATTGATGCAAAAAATTTAAATAAAATACTAGCAAAGAGATAACAGCAACATATCAGAAGGATCATATGCAATGACCAGGTGGGATTTATAGCAAGAAAGCATGGCTGGCTCAGTGTTAGGAAAACTATAAGCATAATTGACCATATCAACAAGTAAACAAATAGAAATCATATGATTATCTCAACAGATGCAGAAAAAGCCTTTTACAAAATGGAGCACCCATTCCTATTAAAAACACTAGAGAGCATAGGAATAAATGGAGATTGCCTTAAAATCATAAGTGATACTTATCTAAAACCATCAGGAGGCATTATCTGTAATGGGGATAAGCTTGAAGTGTTCCCAATAAGATCCAAGGTGAATCAAGGATGTCCATTATCACCTCTATTAAGGACTTAGAATAGGCAATGAGGGAATAAAACTATCACTCTTTGCAGATGACATGATGTTATACATAGAAAATCCTGGAGACTCAACTAAAAAATTACCTGAAATTATTAACAACTTAAGCAATGTTGCAGGATACAACATGAACCCACATAAATCATCAATATTTCTACATATTATCAACAACGTCCAGCAGTAAGAGATAGAAATTCCTTTTAAAATACCTGTAGAGAATATGAAATAATAGGGAATCACCTGCCAAGACAAATGCAGAAACTATATAAACGCAACTATAAGTTGCTTATCACAGAACTAAAATCAGATCTAAAAAACTAGAAAAATGTTAATTGCTCATTGGTAGGCCAAACCAATACAATAAAAATTACAATTCTACTAACAAGAATCTATATATAGTCAGTGCCATACCATTCAAACTATCAAAAATTATTTTATAGGGCTAGAAAAATAAAAACAAAATTCAACTAGAAGAACAAAAGCTCAAAAATATCAATGGAATCAATGGAAAAATTCAAAGAAGGTGTTCTACCCTTACCAGATCTTAAACTGTATAATGAAACAGTAATTACTAAAACAATCCAGTACTGACTAAAAAACACAGCAGTAGATCATTGGAATAGATTAGGTACAAATTACATTATAGTAAATGAGCGTAGTAATCTAGTATATAACAAAGCGAAAGACATAAGCTTTTGGAAAAAAAAACTCAGTATTTCACAAAAACAGCTAGGAAAACTAGAAAACAATACGGCAGAAACTAGGTATAGACCAATATCTCACATCATATACCAAGATAAAGTAAAAAGGGTACCTGATTTACACAGTTCATCCGAAAGACTTATGGATAAAGGCACAATTTAAGACCAAAGAAGAAGATAAGGAGAGCATTATAAAATATAAAACAGATAATTCTGATTACATAAAAGTAAAAAGTTTTTGCACAAGTAAAACTAATGCAATTAAAATTATAAGGAGAGCAGAAAAATGGAGGAATTTTTTGTAACAACTATCTCTGATAAAATCCTCATTTCTCAAATATATAGAGAATTGAGTCAAATTTATAAAAATGCAACTCATTCACCAATCGAGAAATGGTCAAAGGATATGAACACGCAGTTTTCAGACAATCAAAGATATCTATTGTCATGAAAAAATGTTCCAAGTCACTATTGATCAGAGAAATGCACGTGAAAACAACTCTGAGATACCGCCTCAAGCCTGTCAAAGTGGCTAATATGACAAAAAGGAAAATGTTAGATGTGGAAGGGGATGTGGGAAACCTGGGACACTAATGTACTGTTGGTCAAGTTGTGAACTGATCCTATCATTCTGGAGAGCAACTTGGAAACCTGCAGAAAGGGTCATAAAACTGTGCATATCCTTTGATCTAGCAATACCACTGCTAGGTGTATATCCCAAAGACATTCAAAAAAAGGGTGGGGAGAGGAGAAGAACCTATTTGTACAAAAATACTTATAGCAGCTTTTATTTGGTGACTAAGAATTGGAAATCAAGGGATGCTCACCAATTGGGGAATGGCTGAACAAGTTGTGATACCTGAATTTAATGAAATACTACTGTTCTATAAGCAATGATGAGCAGGCAGATTTCAGAAGAACCTGGAAAGACTTACATGAATTGGTGCTGAGTGAAGAGAGCAGCACCAGGAGAAAGAACACTGTATACTAACAGCAACATTGTACAATGACTAACATTGAAAGACTTAGATTATTTTCCATATCCAGAGAAAGAACTATGCAGTCTGAATGCAGATGGAAGCATACTGTTTTCTTTTTTTTCCTTTCTTCTGGTTTTTCCCTTTTGTTCTGATCCTTCTTTCACAACATGACTAATGCAGAAATATATTTAATATGGTTATACATGCATAGCTTGTATCAGATTACGTACTATCTTGGGGAACAGGAGGGGGAGGGAGAAAAAAATTTGGAACTCAAAATCTTACAAAAGTGAATGTTGAAAACTATCTCTAAATGTAATTGAAAAAATTAAATCTATTAAGTGGGAAAAAAGAAATTAAAAGCAGGATGATTTCACAAAAACCTGGAAAGACTTACATGAACTGATCCCTAATGAAATGAACAGAACTAGGAGAATGTTATACACTGAAACAGCAATATTATTCGATGAAGAATTGTGAATTACCTAGCTATTCTTAGCAATAAAATGATCCAAGAAATCCCAAAGAGGTAATGATGAAGCAAGCACGCTATCCATCACCAGAGAAAGAATGATATTGATTGAATATGGACTGAAGCATGCCATTTTTCACTTTCTTTCTTTCGTTTTTTGTTCTTTCCTTCAAGTCTTCTTGTGCAAAATGACTAATATAGAAATGTTTTAAATAATTATACACATATAAGCTATATCTTATTGCTTTCTGTCTCAGGAAAGGGGTAGGAGAGCGAGGAAGGATGGGATAGAAATTGTAACTCAAACCTTCAAACAAAAAAGCCTAGTAGACTCTAAAAAAAATCCTTATAAAAAAAGCTAAAGGTTTCCATGCTGATTTTATACACCTAGGTTGCTGAAATTAGAAGGAGTAATAAATATTCTCTCATCCGATATAGGCAAAGCCCAGTAGAAAGAAATTCTAGGGTTGCAAGAGGGGATTAGTAGCAATGAGAAACTAATTGGTAGACCCAGTCACCCAAGCCTTAAGAGTTGCTGGCAGACACAAATTGGAGACATAGGATAACAGGGGCAGAACAGAACACATTCAAGAGTCCTGAAGATGGATCACAAGTTGTAAAATACAAGCAACACATAACAATAAGAAAATGGATTTCAATCATTGTTTTTCCAATGAAAATTATTAATTATTGCTACATGAAGATTATTTTTTACTAATATAGTATCCTAGTCACTCTAGATCGAGGTACTATATTTAAGGCAGTCTTCTTTATGCTTTATACTCTAGGCAGATATGTACTTGTTTTTTACACTAACACTTTACCTGAAGCTTTCCCAGTCTCTTTATGATCTACAAAGGAGAAAATCTTAAGCTAATGTAGTGAAGTCCATGACAATCAGCTCAGCAGACAAAACTGAAAATAAAATGACAGTCTACAACACTCCTGAAAAAACCCATCTTACCTAACACCTCACTGTAAAATTGCTCCCACTTTTTCTGAAATGGATGGAATCAGAACTAGTCAAAGAAGAGAGATAGTTGTATATTCTCCACCCTGTCCATGAAGGTCATCTTGTCAGTCAGTCTGCCCATGGGCATGGGCACATAGGAAAGAGGAGAAGGAAGTCCCCCACAGTATTTCTCATAGGCATTCCCCATGCTCCACCGGAGACTATTTATGAAAGGGATTTCAAGCACCTCCGCTATCAGATCTCCACATGGAAATGCAGCATCTGCTAACAGCATATCATAGCCAGTTTGTTGCAGCTTCTCCATGAGCATCTGGTTGAAGATTACATTTTCACACCTTGATTTTACAACAAGAAAATAAGTGCTGAAAGATTCTTGAAATTCCCAGTTTTTCCCAGTGTGAAAAAGTGGGGTTTTTGTTAATCATCACGCTCAAAAAAATATCCAAGTTGTCCACCAGTTCTTTTATTTCCGGTACAGGAAAAACGTCATAGTTCAGCCCTGAAGAGTCAGTGGAACCAGTGAGAAACATATCAGAAGACACTAACACAGTCACCAAGTGACCCCTTTGTGCCAGCTCTTCAAGAATTGCCATCATATTAAGCCAGTGGCTATGTTCCAATGGCCACATCAGGACCTTCCCACAGGATCCACATCCAAAGCAGCAGAGCTGCAGCAGCAGCAGAATAGACACCCACTTTTCAGTCATAGTGCCTGAGCCTGATGCCTTCTGATACACTACTGCTCTTTGTGCATGCCAGATGAAGACACACAGGCAAGCCAAGACACAAGTAGAAGATTAATTTCTAAAGGAAGTTCTCACCAATTGCACTTTTAGACCAAGGAAACCTCCCATTCTTCCTGTCTCCTTCCTTTACAACCTCAGTATCATTCTCTACTCCTTGGTCTCCTTCACTTCCACACTCACATATCCAATCAGTTGCCAGATCTTGCTTTTTCTTTTTCTTTTTCTTATTCTTTATTTATTTTTGGTTTTCAACATTGACTTCCACAAGATTTTAAGCTCCACATTTTCTCCCCATCTTGTCACTCCCTATCTTGCCCCTCCCCATACTCCAAAATCCTTATGCATCCTGAATACCCCTTTCCTTAATCTGCACTCCCTTCTATCTCCCCTCTTCTGTTATCCTGTTCCCCTTCTATTTTCCTGTAGGGCAAGATAGATTTCTATACCCCATTGCCTGCATCAGATCTTGCTTTTTCTATCTGCACAGCATCTCTTGAATCTCCCTCATTCTCTCTTCTCCCAAATTCCCTTACACCAATTCTCTCTTTTCACACAGTCACTATTTCAGCTCAGGCCCTCATCAGCTCTCATCTCAGCTATTGCAATGACCCTAATTGATCTCTGTTTCCAAGTCTCTCTCCATTCTAATGCATGCCCACATGGCTGCCAAATTTGATTTCCTTAAGCAAAGACCTGATCATGTCACCGCTGAACTCAGTAAATGCCAGCCGCCCTTACCAGCTTTACAAATAAAATGTATACTCCTCTTTTTCGCTTTTAAAGACCTCACAACTTGGCTCTATCATCTCTTTCAAAACTTGTTACATGTTCTTGCCCTTTCCACACTCAATAATCGACCAGAGGTGTCAAACATGATGGGCAACATGAAGCTCACAGTTCTAGCAGGTACCATCTGAACCAGTTTAAAATATATTTAGAAAATATTAAATCAAAATAAATCAAGGTACAATAAAAACCTAGATAATACTATGTCACCCAGGCTTCTCTGGGCATGTTCAGTTCTACTACGGAGGTGGAAACTCCCTTAAGAGAGGCCTTTTGAGCATTTCCAATTCCTCTAATGTGTTCTAAGCTAGATGTATCCCCTACCACAGAGGAAGGATAGCTTCCTTTGAATGGCTGTCTATGTCTTTAAAACTGGCAAGACCAAGCCAATTGCTCTTTTCAGCTGCTGCTTGCCACCATTGTTCAGCTTAGCCCTTTTTGGTGACTCCCTCTCTGCTCTACCCAACATGGACCCCATGAACTGAACCAATGAACTGCACCAGTGAGAAGGGTAGGAAAATCCTTCCCTTGTTCCTACTCTTTTACCTCTGCTCCAGAAATGGGCCTGGCTGTGTTTTCTGCACTCTTTTATTTGTCTTCAGGTGCTGGGAACAGTAAAATAAGCCATGGTGACCTTGGTACCAGAATTGCAGGCAGGGTGGTGCGATGCAGCCAGTCAGGCTAGCATGGAAACCCTGAGAAGCCAGAATTCCTGGGGCAAGAGTCTTAGGGGAATTTTGGATTTCAAACTGGAATCATCTTCTATAGGAGCTGAGCTAAGCTATGAACCTAATCCCTTAGCCCTCCCAGGAGACAATGCAGGTAGAGGCGGATGATGCTTCCCACAAGTGGGGGTATAAATTTGTATATTTGTGATAATACATACATACATATATATATATATATATATATATATATATACATATATATATATATATATACACATACATTTATATGTATATATACATACACATACACCAAAGACACACACACACAAACATATATACACATATACATAATGAAAAGCAATTTATGCAAAAGTTTGGGAACATCACAGATAACTGAGAGTGTCAGAAAAGACTTTCTGTAGGACATGACTTTTTCAATACCAAGGGGTATAAAAAAGTAGCTGTATGCTCAGTTTAAACTTATCTATTAGTTTGCCAAATTTCTATATTGCTTTTATATCCTTTCCTAAAGAACTGTTAGCTAAATCATTTCAATTCCAGAAGTATTTAATCTAGAAGAACAACTCCTGTCAGCATGCTACTATATACTTAGGAAAGCCACAACACCTTTTTTTAGCTGTACCTTGTGCCAGGGGCTGGCTAAGTGCTTTACACTTATTATCCCATTTGATCATAAACAATAATTTGCGATGAGGTAGGTGCTCCTACTATCCTCATTGTATAGATGAGGAAACCGAGGAAGACAGAGGTTAAGTGAGTTGTCCAGGATCAGAGAGCTACTAAAGGTCTGAGGCTGGATTTGAACTCAAGTCTTCCTGACTCCAGGCCAAGCACTCTCATCCACTCTGCCCCCTAGCTGCTTGAAATAAAAGGTACATAACTTCTGTACATAACTTCTGCCTGAAAAGACTATAGTGGCTAGACAAGAGATATGTGGAATAAACTAAACAACCAACTAAATCAACAAATAATAGCTTAACATGATTGATCAGGACAAACAAATCCCCTACCTCAGAGAGAAGTGAGATCACTGCAGCCCGAATTAATCTAGGAACGATTCTTGGAAGTGAGATTTCTCCATTGGTCCTTTCCCCCTAACTTTCTACCGTATCCCACACACACTTGCTTCAGGGGCAAAAGTTAGATACCTTTTCTTATTAAAATCAGCTGTGATCAATCACTGCTTGATTTATTTCTCCTCTCCATTCTCTAAATATTACTGGAAGCTCAATTGCCATCAACAGACAGAAACACCCTGGAACTCAAGGAGCAGTAATGCATCTCCCACCACTGCTCCTGCTTCTAGCCCAATTCCCACCCCCATTGTCCAGGAAATCAATCTTTGTGGACATGCAACCTAGTGATGAGAGGCACATAGGTGGCAAATGGATAGAGTGCCAGACCTGGAGTCAGAAAGACTCATTCTACTGAGTTCAAATCTAGTCCAGACATTTACTAGATGTGTGACCCTGGGCAAGTCATTAATCGGTTTCCTCATGTGTAAAATGAACTGAAGAAAGAAATGGCATATCACACTAATATTCAGGCCAAGAAAATCCCAAATAGGGCCAAGTCAAGACTGAAATGACTCAACAATAACAGTAATCAACCTGTGACTGCTTTTGCAGGAACTCTGATCCCTTTCTCCTCAATGGCCACAGCTACTAAGGACCTCAAAAAGTCAGTTGTCACCAGCAAAGTGCTGTCACATTGTTCCGTATCAGATATGAATGTGTTTTGTATCACTAGTAAGAACACTAAGGAGGATACATTATCATCTGCTTTGCGGTATTCGCCCCACCCCTCCATCTCACTAGGACCATGAGGCCTCTCTGTTGGACTTACAACTGAAACTTCCCATGTGCATTGTCTCCCCCACTAAAATGCTCCTGGAGAGCAAGGTGCTGTCTTGATTTTCTATTTAAACCCCAGAACATAGCACAGTGTTTTGCATGTAATAGGTGCTTAATCAATGCTTTCACACTTGTTCATTGACTCATTATGCTTATTAACCTGCTTTTCCATTTTGACTAAAGATTCAAACCTCAGCCCATTGTTAGATGGCAGTTTTCATGTTTTATGGATAAGCCAATCATTTTGTCACAAAACTTTGTGTACCTGATTGCAAAAAAAAAAAAACAACTCACTTTTTCATGACATTACACTCCTGTTCACACTGAGATGCATAAGAATGTCAGGGAATTGCTGAACAGGTTTGACACATAAATTATAAAGTGTCCACAGACTTACCTAACACATCACTGTAAAACTGATCCCAATCCTTCATGTAAAATTCTGAAACCAAAAGTCATAATAAATGAAGAAAAGCATATTTTTCACCCGCTCCATAAATGTCATCCTGTCAGTCAACACTGACATGGCTACAGGCACATAGGAAGGAGGGGATGGGAGTCCTCCACAGTATTTTTCAAGGGTATTGCCCAGGCTGAAGCGCAGACTATAGACAAAGGGTATTCCAAGTATTTCTGCTATGAGCTCACCACAAGGACATATAGCATCTGAAATAACAACTTCATACTTGGCTTGTTTCAATGTCTTCATAAGGTCTTTGTTCAAAACAGCGCTCTCACACTGCTGTTTTATAAGCCTTGAACACTGATAAAATAAGTTTTGCACAAATGCACCATACTCTAATGCCGAAAGGTTTTGCAATTCATTACTCCAAACTGTGTCAAAGTTTCAAAAAATAAAGCTAAATCCTCTGGATTTGTCACCACAGGAAAAACTTCAACATGGAAACCTGATGAATTACTAGGATCAACAAAAACAGTAGCAGAGGGTGTCAGCACAGTCACCTCATGGCCCCTCTGAATGACTCCATCCAGCAGGACCTTCAGATTGAGCCAGTGACTATATTCCATAGGCCATGCCAGGACCTTCCCACAGGATCCACAGCTAAAGCAACAGAGCTGTAACAGCAAAAGAATTGAAACCCAGTTCTCAGACCCCATGGTTATTCTTGCTTTACAAACTGCTTGGTTCTTTCCATCAAGAGTTCCCCTTTATATCAACAATAAGGAGGTTAAAATTAACTGATATTTCTAAATTCTTTATCCAAATACCCATAGTTAGTCCTACCCAAAATATGGTCTTGCTCAATTTGGCAAGAAGTTCATACATTCCATAGCTTTCATGTTAGAGATAAAAACTAAGCTGGTATCATCAAAGTCCCTCATTCACAAAAGTTCAAGGTCTTATGTAATATCAGTACTTTAACAAGGGAACTTCTTCACGAGCCAGAAAACACTTTTTAATCTTTCTGAGTTTAAGTGTGAATACTATTTATTTCTTTAAGGCATACAGGTTTTATAGCAAAATGGGTCTCCTTTCAATCTATCTCACTTGTATCTCAAGCTTCTTTGCCCTTAGATTTCAAGATGGGACATCTTACCAGCACAGCCCTCTGAGGAGTAGCTGAGAAAAATGAGTTCAGGGTTGTGAGTATATCCCTCAGACAGTCTCAATGAGTTATACTTTGTTGGGTGCTAATGGAGGTCAATTCCTGATCCTACTGGGGAAGCTGCTATTATAAGATTTTCCTCCTCTTCCATTGTTTTGGATCTTAAACTGGAATAGATATTCTGTTAAGTGATTATCATGAAGCATATGGGCTTGGGGCAGCTAGGCGGCACATTGGATAGAGTTCCAGGCCTGGAGTCAGGAAAACACATCTTCTTGAGAGTGAATCTGACCTCAAACTCTTACTGGTTGTGTGACCCTGGGCAAGTCACTTAACGCTGTTTTCCTCAGTTTCCTCATCTATAAAATGAGCTGGAGAAGAAAATGACAAAAACACTCAAATATCTTTACCAGGAGAACCCCAAATATCATCACAGAGTGGGGCATGAATGAAAACAACTGAATAACAACAACAACCCAAGGGCTTGAGTTCATGGATAACCAACTGTGACTTGGTATATCAGTTCAATGTTTGAATGGATTAGAATTATCTCTACCATCCACCTTATTGTTTTATTTGTAATTATGTCTTATTTTAACAGTACTTGATTTTCTCATCTTTTTGTTACGAACACTTGACATTGTCATAATTCAATAAATGTCCATTCTTTACTCCCCCTCCTCCCACAGGATAATATGCATTTTTGCTGGATGGGTTATCTTCGATGTAATCCTGAATCTTTCCTTCTGGAATATCAGAAATGCCTCTCCTGTCTTTTACAGTGATGGCTGCTGAAGCCTCTGTGATCCTGATTATGACTTCTTTATGTTTGAATTATTTCTTTCTGGCTAATTGCAGTATTTTTTCCTTGACTTAGATGTTCTGGATTTTGGCTATAATATTCCTAGCAGTTTTCATTTTGGGATTTCTTTTAGGAGATGACCAGTGAATTCTTTTGATTTCTACTTTGCTCTCTGGTTCTAAGATATCTGGACTGTTTTCTTTTACATTTTTTGAAATATGATGTTTGTTCATGGATATTGTAGGTAATACGATGATTCTTAAATTCTCTCCCCTAGATCTATTTTGCTCGACAATTCTTTTTCTTAAGACGTATTAACATTTTCTTTTACTTTTCATGCTTTTGATTTCATTTTATTATTTCTTAATGTCTCATGGAGTCATTTACTTCCATTTGGCCAATTCTAATTTTTAAGGAATTATTTTCTTCAGCAATAGTTTTAACCTCCTTTACCAAGCTGTTAATTCTCTTTTTCATAACTTTTTTATAGCACTCATTATTTTTCCTATTTTTGCTCTGTGCTTTTATATGATTAAAAATAATTTTGCTCTTTTTTCTTTAGCCTCTTTCTTTAACTCTTCTGAGAATTGTCATTGAGTTTATATCTATTTGTATCTTTTGGAATTGTGTATGGTTGCTTTTCAGTAGACTGATGCTGGACTCAGTTACTACTAGTCTTCTGGTGGGTTCTGTAGATTCAGAGTTACTGAACTGCTTGACTTTCCTTTCATGTTGTTTTCCTACCCTGGGTATTCCAACTGTAAGCTTATGTGATGGGCTAAAGGTTAGACTATGATCCTCTTTTGTTCTTGGGCTCAGATACACACAGAAAATTTTTCAAACTTGTTTTTTTCTCTGTACATAGCTAAGGTCTCTTCTCTTTCTGACTTTCACCTCTCCTCCCTGCCCTGGAATGGTGACCTGAAACTAGGTAATGGAGGACCAACAGAGCTACCTGCTGGAACCTGTTCTGGTTCACAGTGTTGGTTCAGGTGTATTCTGGGATTTCTTTTTGCTTCTAGCCTTGGTTCAGTCCTAGTCACCTTACCATCCCTGGATGCTAGAAGGCTCCCCACTGTTGCTGTTGCTGTGGATACTGCCTCAGCCACTTCAACATTGTGCTCCTGGACAACCCCAGTATCTATAGACCTCACTGTCCATCTTCCTGAGCTGCCCTGGACTGGAAATATGACTTACTATGACTTGTTCTCAGCTTTCCCAACAAGAAATTGTTGGATTGCATTTTTCAGTTGTTGTGAAGAAAGTGTGTCACATGAGTTGAGTAAAAATGGTAACTCTCACTCTACCATCTTGACTCCCAGTACTTCATTTTCTACCAGAAATTTCTGCCATTTTGCTTTGTATATTCTGATCCAACTATATGGTTTCTAACTACGCTTAGGCCCATTTAAGAGATTAGTTATACTATGGTTGTTTCTCAAATTGTTGCAAATAGACTGGCTTATTTTACTTCTTCCAGTAAGTCTCACCCATCCTTTAGTCAATACACCTAACACCCTTTTTGGGTTGCATCCTGAAGGAGGTCACATGGTATTTCTGGATATGGAAAAACAATAAAGAATGTAAAAACACATCCTAGGATTGCAGTTATTGGGTAACATGCAGAAGCAGCAATGCCCTGAGGCTTTGGTTAAATGATTTCATTAACCACTCTTTAGGGGTGTTAGATAGAATTTTGATAGTATTAGAAATTGAAGGCCTTGTATAACTGGTTAAAGAAGTTAGAAATTAAAGTCGTGACTTTAGTGTGGGTTGTCAGTTACATGATCTAGCTTAACTAGTGTATCAGCGTTGGCGAATATCTTAATCTACACAACGTGTAAAAACTATTTGTCTTTCTCCTTTCCCATAGTGGTACTCTCTGACAATTCTTGGAGGTCCCCTTGCTCTAAAACCAGAATCCTGCAATATATTGTTTCTAAGAAAGACATTTGGGGCTGAGGTACACACAAGGTAAAAGTAAGGGGCTAGAGGAGAATTTATTATGCATCAGCTGAAGGGAAGAAAGCAGGAGTACAAATCACGATTTGAGCCAAAGCAAAAACAGATCCAATTAAAAGAGATGGAGAAGGAAATCAAATCCTGTTGAACAGTACCATAGACAACAAAATCATATCAATATTAAGCATACGTGCATCAATTGGTGTATCATCTAAATTTGTGAAGAAGTTCAAAGAGTAACAGGAAGAAATTGATAATAAAACTATGCTAGATGAACAAAACTCTGATAATGTTAGATATGATATATCTTTAGACAAAATTAAATGGGAATGTAAAGGATTATACTTCTTACTCAACAGTTCATGGCCTTTACACAAAAATTGACAATGTCTTAGGACATAAAAACCCTCAGCCAAATGCCAGAAAAGCAGAAACAGTAAACACATCTTGTTCAGACCATAGTGCAATAGAAATTACATTCAATAATGTGCAAAGGAAAGAGACATCAAAAATTAATTGGAAATGAAATCATCTAATCCTAAAAAAAGTGGGTCAAAAAATCATAGAACCAATTGGTAATTTCATTAAAATTACAGCAATGAGAGAACATACCAAAATTTTGGGGATGCAGCCAACGTGCTAGTTAGGGAAAATTTATGTCTCTAATTGCACATATCAATAAAATATAGAAACAGAAGATCAGTGAATTGGACATGCAACAAACTAACAAAAAAACTAGAAAAAGAACAAATTAAAAATCCCCAATTAAACACTAAATTGGAAATCTTGAAAATCAAAGGAGACATTAATAGAAATGAAACTAAGACAACCACTGAACTAATAAATAAAATTAGAAACTGGTTTTATGAAAAAGCCAACAAATATGTAAAATACAGGTTGATTTTTATGTAAAAAAGGAAAGAGGAAAACCAAATTACTAGTATCAAAAGTGAAAGGGATGAATTCACCAGTAATAAAGGGGAAATTAAGGCAATTGTTAGGAGCAATTTTGCCCAATTATACACCAATAAATTTGACAATGTAAGTGAAATGGATGAATATCTACAAAAACATAAATTACCCACACAAAACTATAAATTACCCCTATTAACAAAAGAAATAAAAAGCTTAAATAACCCAATATGAGAGAAAGAAAATGAAGAAGCCATCAATGAACTTCCTAAGAAAAATTCCCCAGAACCACATGGATTCACAAGCAAATTATACTAAACATTTAAAGAACAATTAATCCTTATTTTATATAAAGTATTTTCAAAAAAAAGGGGAAAGAGTCTACCAACTGCCTTTTATGACACAAATATGGTGCTGATACCTAAACAGAGTCAAAACAGAGAAAAAAAAATATAGACCAATTTCCCTAATAAATATTGATGCAAAATAATTTAAATAAGATACTAGCAAAGAGATAGCAGGAATGTATCACAAGGATTATGCACTATGACCAGGTGGTATTTATAACACAAATGTACGACTGGCTAAATATGAGGAAAAGTATAAGCACAATTGACCATATCAACAAGAAAACAAACAGAAACCATATGATTATCTCAACAGATGCAGAAAAGCCTTTTACAAAATAAAGCACACATTCCTATTAAAAACACTAGAGACCATAGGAGTAAATGGAGATTGCCTTAAAATGATAAGTGATATTTATCTAAAACCATCAAGAGGCATTATCTGGAATGGGGATAAGTTGAAGCCTTCCCAATAAGATCCAAGGTGAATCAAGGGTGCCCATTATCACTTCTATTATTTAATATTGTACTAGAAATTTTAGTTACAGCAAGAAGAGAAGAAAATGAAATAAAGGAATTATAATAGGCAATAAGGGAACAAAACTACCACTCTGTGCAGATGACAAGATGTTATACTTAGAAAATCCTAGAGACTCAACTAAAAATCTACTTGAAATTATTAACAACTTAAGCAATGTTGCAGGATACAACAGAAACCCACATTAACCATCAATGTTTCTATATATTATCAACAACATCCAGCAGCAAGAGATAGAAATTCCATTTAAAAAGACTGTAGACAACACAAAATAATTGGAAGCCTACCTGCCTAGATAAACACAGGAACTATATAAACACAACCATAAAATTCTTATCATACAACTAAAATTAGATCTAAACAACTAGAAAATATTAATTGCTCATTGGTAGGCCAAACCAATACAATAAAAATTACAATTCTACTAAAATGAATCTGTATATAGTCAATGCCATACCATTCAAAGTATCAAAAAATTATTTTATAGGGCAAGAAAAATAAAAACAAAATTCATCTGGAAGAACAAAAGCTCAAAAATAGCAAGGGAATCAATGAAAATAATGCAAAAGAACGTGTTCTATCCTTACCAGATCTCAAATGGTATTATAAAACAGTAATTACTAAAAACAATCAGGTACTGGCTAAGAAATAGAATGGTAGATCATTGGAATAGATTAGGTACAAATTACATTATAGCAAATGACCATAGTAATCTAGTACATAACAAAGCCAAAGATCCAAGGTTTTGAACAAAAGCTCAGTATTTCACAAAAACTGCTAGCAAAACTAGAAAACAGTATTGCAAACACTAAGTATAGACCAATATCTCACACCCTACACCAAGATGAGGTAAAAATGGATATGTGATTTACACAGGAAGGGTAAAATCATGAACAAATTAAGAGACCGTGGAATTGTTTATCTAAAAGATTTATGGATAAGGAAAGAATTTAAGATCAAAGAAGATATAGAGAACATAACAAAATGTAAAATAGATAATTTTCATTAAATAAAAGGAAAAAGTTTTTGCACAAATAAAACCAATGCAATTAGAATTATATGGAAAGCAGAAAATTGGAGGAATTTTTTTTTCAGCAAATATCCCTGATAAAGGTCTCATTTCACAAATATATAGAGAATTGAGTCAAATTTATAAAAATGCAAGTCATTCACCAATTGAGAAATGGAAAAAGGATATGAACAGACAGTGTTCAGACAATCAAAGATATCCATAGTCATGAAAAAATGTTCTAAATCACAGCTGATCAGAGAAATGCAGATGAAAACAACTCTGAGATACTGTCTCAAACCTGTCAAAGTGGCTAATATGACAATAAGGAAAATGTTAGATGTGGAAGGGGATGTGGGAAAACTAGGACACTAATGTACTGCTGGCCAAGTTGTGAATTGATCCTATCATTCTGGAAAGCAACTTGGAAATATGCTCAAAGGGCTATAAAACTATGCCTATTCTTTGATCTAGCAGTACCACTGCTAAGTATATATCCCAAACACATTCAAAAAAAGATTGGGGTGGGGAAGAACATATTTCTACAAAAATATTTATAGCAGCTTTTGTTTTTGGTGGCTAAAAATTGGAAATCAAAGGGATGATCATCAATTGGGGAATGGCTGAACAAGTTGTAATACCCGAATGTAATGGAATACTACTGTTCTATAAGAAATGATGAGCAGGCCGATTTCAGAAGAACCTGGAAAGACTTACATGAATTGGTGCTGAGTGAAGAGAGCAGAACCAGGAGAACATTATATACTAACAACAACATTGTGCAATGACCAACTTTGGTAGACTTAGCTTTTCTCAGTAATACAATGACCTAAGACAATTCCAAAAGACTAATGATGGAAAATGCTATCCATTTCCAGAGAAAGAACTACGGAGTCTGAATGTAGGTAGAAGCATACTGTTTTCTTTTTTTTCCCATTCTCATGGTTTTCCCCTTTTGTTCTGATCCTTCTTTCACAACATGACTAATGTGGAAATATATTTAATATGGTTGTACGTGCATGGCCTGTATCAGATTACGTACTATCTTGGGGAAGAGGAGGGGGAGACAGAAAAAAATTGGGAACTCAAAATCTTACAAAAGTGAATGGTGAAAACGATCTCTAAATGTAATTGGACAACATTAAATCTATTAATTCGGAAAAAAATTAAAAGCAGGATGATTTCATAAAAACCTGGAAAGACTTACATGAAATAATGCCCAATCAAATGAACACACCTAAGAGAATCTTACACAGTGAAACAGCAATATTATTTGATGTAGAATTGTGAATTACCTAGCTATTCTTAGCAATACAATGCTCCAAGAAATCCCAAAGAGCTAATAATGAAGCAAGCACACTATCCACCACCAGAGAAAGAATGATATTGATTGAATATGGACTGAAGCATGCTATTTTTTAACTTTCTTTCTTTCACTTTTTTCTTTCCTTCAAGTCTTCTTATGCAAAATGACTAATATTGAAATGTTTTACATAATTGCACACATATAACCTATATCTGATTACTTTCTGTCTCAGGAAGGGGTAGGGGAGCGAGGAAGGATGGGATAGAAATTGTAACTCAAACCTTTAAACAAAAAAGCCTAGTAGACTCTAAAAAAATTCCTTATTTAAAAAAGCTAAAGAAGGTTTCCATGCTGATTTTGTAGAGCTAGGTTGCTGAAATCAGAAGGAGTAAATAAATATTCTCTCATCTGATATAGGCAAAGCCCAGTAGAAAAAAATTCTAGGTTGCAAGAAGGGATTAGTAGCACTGACAAACTAATTGGGAGATCCAGTCACCCAAGACTTAAGAGTTGCTGGTAGACACAAATTGGAGACATAGGATAACAGAAGCAGAACAGAAGACATTCAAGGGTCCTGAAGAAGTTGTAAAATACAAGCAACACATAATGATAAGAATATGGATATAGATCTTTGTTTTTTCTAATGAAAATTATTACTTATTCCTACATGAAGATTGTTTGTTACTAATATAATATCCTAGTCACTCTAGATGGAGGTACTACATTTAAGGCAGTCTTCTTTATGCTTTATACTCTAGGCAGATATGTACTTGTTTTTTACACTAACACTTTACCTGAAGCTTTCCCAGTCTCTTTATGATCTACAAAGGAGAAAATCTTAAGCTAGTGTAGTGAAGTCCATGACAATCACCTTGGCAGACAAAACTGAAAATAAAATAACAGTCCACAACACTCCTGAAAAAACCCATCTTACCTAACACCTCACTGTAAAACTGCTCCCACTTTTTCTCAAATGGATGGAACCAGAAGTAGTCAAAGAAGAGAGATAGTTGTATATTCTCCACCCTTTCCATGAAGGTCATCTTGTCAGTCAGTCTGCCCATGGGCATGGGCACATAGGAAAGAGGAGAAGGAAGTCCCCCACAGTATTTCTCATAGGCATTCCCCATGCTCCACCGGAGACTATTTATGAAAGGGATTTCAAGCACCTCCGCTATCAGATCTCCACATGGAAATGCAGCATCTGCTAACAGCACATCATAGCCAGTTTGTTGCAGCTTCTCCATGAGCATCTGGTTGAAGATTACATTTTCACACCTTGATTTTACAATAGGAAAAGCAGAGCTGAAAGATTCCTGAAATTCCCACAGTTTTTCCCAGTCTGAAAATGTGGGTTTTTTGTTAATCATCATGCTCAAATAAATTTCGAATTGTTCCTCCAAGTCTTCTTTTATTTGTGGTACAGGAAAAACGTCATAGTTCAGCCCTGAAGAGTCAGTGGAACCAATGAGAAACATATCAGAAGACACTAACACAGTCACCAAGTGACCCCTTTGTGCCAGCTCTTCAAGAATTGCCATCATATTAAGCCAGTGGCTATGTTCCAGTGGCCACACCAGGACCTTCCCACAGGACCCACATCCAAAGCAGCAGAGCTGCAGCAGCAGCAGAATAGACACCCACTTTTCAGTCATAGTGCCTGAGCCTGATGCCTTCTGATACACTACTGCTCTTTGTGCCTGCTGATAAAGACACACAGGCAAGCCAAGGGACAAGTTGAAGATTAATTTCTAAAGGAAGTTCTCTCCAATTGCATTTTTAACTCACGGCAACCTCCCATGTCCCTCTATGTAAACACTTCTTCCAGTGAACTCTTTCCACAATCCAACATATGTTAGGTGAAGGCACAAATTTAGAATATCAAAAGTACTGGCCTTACTTTTCCTAAATCTTAGAATTAAAACAGAAAGTACAAACAAGAAAAACAATACACTACATCTATACCCACCAAGTCATTCAAGAAATATTTATGAGATACTCAAGTTATAAAAGGGATACAAAGCCATATAAAAGACAGTTTCTACACTCTAATTACTTAATATATAGTAGCACAGACAAAAACAAGTCTCTGTATCACTACATATGAGGCAAAATATGATAAACGCATTAAGAGTTTTACAATTGTAAGGTTCAGAGACTTATTATTCAAAATAAATATTTAATAAATATATGACATGTATGCTATATAGGATGCATACAAAAGCTATATGTAAATTCTGTGTATCTAGGTTTCTATGTATGCATGTATACAAATATATTCCATGTATTCAATATATGTGGTCATCCTAGGAAATGGGAATAAAAAATTAAAGTGAAGGGAGATATCTTATTGGTGCTGCTTTACTTCCCCTCCTCCCATTTATTTGTTGGGGAGACCAAAAGGACCTTAGTGGAGTAGATATCTGATCAAAAATAATTCTACCTCAGCCCCATGCAAATCCCATGGGATTCTTTAGCAGAAATTCTTGACACTAATTTGGAGCAGGAAATTCTCTGTATAATTGAATTAAACAGGAGTTATAATGACAATCTAATTTTCAGAATGATTTTTAGCACAGAGAATTTGGTCTTAGGGAACGAGAGGCAGTGGTTTAAGAAATGGATTAAGGGATTGTGGGTTTGCTTAGGTGGCTGGGTGCTGAAAATACTAGGCTGGTGAAGGGAAAGACTGCCATTTTGGAGAGAAAAGCCACACAGAGCTAAGTCTCTGGGAAATGACAGCTTTCTTTCCTTACAGTTTTCAGTGTCATAGACCTAGGATAACTGGTGAAGCCTTTGGTCCTCTTTTAAGAATGAATCTCTCCCTACTCCAATGTATCCCTCATTCAGTTGTCAGAGTGATCTTCCTAAATCTCAGGTTTAACCACATCACTACCCCACCTCTGGGGCAGCTAGATGGTGAAGGGGATAGACTGCCTGGTATGGAGTCAGGAAGACTCTTCTTCTTGAGTTCCAACCTGGCCTGAAACACTTTTTAACTGTGTAACCCTGGGCTAACCACTTAACCCATTTTGCCTCACTTTCTTCATTTGTAAAATTGAGATGGAGAAGGAAATGGCAGACAATTACACTATTTTCACCAAGAAAACCAAGCATATCTCCAGTTCTTAATACTGCAGTCTATAACACTGCTTTTATGGCAAACACATCCACTGCTATATGTGTATTAAAAAGCAACTGATGTTTATGCTGGCATATTGCAAAAGCCACAACAGAACAAAAAAAAAAACAGTTGTGGATCAGTTGAGTGTTAAAAGTTTCAACCTTGGGGTTAATACCAAGAAGGAAGTAGAAAAAAAAAACGCCAATCCCCACAATTTCAGAGCGCTCTGTTTTCTATAAAATGTTTCTGTCTTCCTGAAATGTTTCTCTCCTAGTGGCCAAACCCCATGATCCCCAATTACTTTTAACAGTGAAGAGGCAGGAATCATTGGCCAGTTCTCCTTCTATGATGTGACACTTTGTGGTATATTGTGTGTTTGAAATATAGTTTGGTTTTATATGCTCCCCATATTGCATAAAGCATACCATAAAAGAACACATTTTTCACCTCTTCCTCAATGTCTAAGTTCACAGACCAACAGAATTAATTGTAGGAATTCAAATTTGGAACGGACCAACAACTCACCATACATGCTTTGCTTCAATACCATAAATGAGGCAGTGCTGGTGCTCCACACTACTTCCTCGGCCAGACCAGTTCACTTTTGGAAAGCATTAATTCTTAGGAACCTTTTTCTTACGGGACTGCTATACATCATTTGCCTCATTCCAACTTCCAGCCACGGTTCCTAGTTTTTTGAAGTCAGAATACCTGGATTTGAACTCCTCCTCTGTGTCCTAGGACCTGTGTGCCCTTGGGTAATTTCCCTTAACCTCACTCCTCTACATTCCCTTCTTCAGCTAAAAACAGTTCATCATCTATGATCCTGAAACTTCTAATCTCTCCACAGGACAGGTATTCACACTTATTACACAATATTTTCTTCTCCTAGCTAAGTATTTCTAGTTGAAGACGTTCTTAATCCAGGCCCATGAATTTGTTGTTTTACATTTTGTTAACTCTGCTTCACTGACTGCTTTATTTTGTTACTATGTATATTAGCTTATGTATTTAAAAATATTATTCTGAGAAAGCTTCTATAGGCTTCAACAGACTGTCAAAGGAGTCTGTAACTCCAAAAAGGTTAAAAACCCGGCCCTAGTTCCTTAAATAATTCAGACCAGAAACACAGGACCCTTCACCATTCTGGCTGCACTCCTATCAAGCTTTCTAGTTAGATAATGCACTTTCTCAATTACGGAGTCCAAAATGGAACAGTCATCTAGATGTTATCAGGGCAGATTACAGTGCAATAATCAGTCTTAGAAGCCATGCCTCTCTTAAAGCAGCCCTATCATACTATCGACTCATGTTGAGCTTGTACCACAAATACCCTCAGATCTTGTCATAGGGAAGCTGACATTTGGAGTCCAATTATAAGACTTTAACTTTCACCTTATTGGATTTGTCCCAGTGATTTATTCTATTAAGAACTTTTGTGATTCTGACTAGTCATAATGTCAGTTTTTTTCCCTAGATTTATGTCATCCATAGATTTCTAAACATGCCATACAGTTTAGTGTCAGGTATAGAACTCTGGCTTACTCTTATGGAGAATTCTTTCCAAATTGCCTTGAAACCATCAGTTACTAAGCTTTGGGTCTAGCAGTTTTTTTTTTTTATAAGCACTTGTGATTAATCCCAGGATCACACAGCTAGTAAGTGTCAAGTGTTTGGTCTGAGGCTAGATTTGAACTCAGGTCCTCCTGACTCCAGGGCCAGTGCTCTACTCACTGTCCCACCTAGCTGCCCCCTGGGTCTAGCAATTTAACCAGTTCCTGAGGCAACTAATTTTACATAACATTTAGCCCACATTTCTTTATCTTTTCCATAACAATAGCTTCAGAGACTTTATCAAATGCTTTGCTACAACTTAACTTAAATTCTGTCTATCACACTGCTTTCATCTACTAGTTTAGTAACTCAATAAAGAAAAGAAATGAAGATGGTCTGGAATGACCTATATTTAATGAATCCACAAGCACTACTTCTCATCTTCCAGTGCCATTCATATTTGTAGTATGCAGTCTCTTTTCTTTCCTTCTTTTTGCAAATCATCTGCCAATTTTTTTTTGTGTGTGTGTGAGGTGATTAGTGAGTGTTATGTGTCTGAGACCACACTGGATTCCAGGTCCCCCCAACTCCAGGCCAGGGGCTCTAACCACTGCGAAATCTAGCTGCCCCATCATCTGCCAACTTTATGAAAAATGTCTGTCAATTTTATGATAGCTCTCTCATTCTCCATCCCCTTGAAAATATCACTGAATGGTTCAGCAATCATATCCAGAAATTCTTCTAGTACCCAAGAATCTGGTTCATCTTTGTGAGAAAACTTGAACTCATCTAGGATACTACATGCTTTCTCAATTTCTCCTTACTCTTCTTGGGAATTGGATCCACATTAGTCATATATCTTTAATTCTTTCCATTTCAAATAGCTTTCTCTTTGACAGAGAAAATGGAAAGAGAAAAGGAATTGAGCAGCTCTCTCTTCTCTTCATGGTCAAATACCATAGTTCCATCCACCCAAAGCAAAATTCCCATTCCCTTTTTATCCCCTCTATTGTACCTTTAAAAATAAATGAAAAAAATTATTTTTATCTTTACCAATCCATAGCAACGTCAGGTTATTCTGAGATTTAGCAAGTCCGGAGAATTATTCATTTTTTCAGAATCACGCTATGCTTTGTAATTTTTTCTGTCATTTCTTCTCTTGTTTCTAGAGCCTCCATATATTTGAATAAAAAAAAAGGATTAAATCGTGAGTGAGTTTTCTGTTTACTCTTATTACTCTCTTTATACAATCTTCTTTTTTTCTTCCTCATCCAAACACTTATTCTTGGCATTTTCAAAATTTCATTTTGAATCATTGCCATCCTTCCTAGGCCTACTTTTCCTATAGAATTTTAGTTCACGACATCCTATTCTTCCCCCTTAATATTTTAAAATTTGTTCTTATATAAGCAAGGGTGTACATCAGAGCGTTTCTGACTTTTCCTTCTTTCTCTATCACAAATTCAAAGACAGAAGTTTTTGTCTCTCTTCAAAGACAGAAGTCCCTTCTAGCTCTAGCTAGCTGTTTTTATGAAAGGGTGGGTGGAACAGAGGAAATCACATGAATGTATAAAAAGGCGACAGGTTAGCATAAGCAGCAAGAAGACATTTCTAACATCGAGACGTGTTTTAACCTGGAAGGCTGTGTAATCATTAACTGTTCTCCTGTGGTTATGTCATTTGCCTTTACTTTTGACACACTGTAAAATGAACAACCAGCCCTAGAGAAGTTCACTATGTCTTCCAAGCTCCTGAGTGCTAGTAGCTACCACCAAGCAGAGGCTGTGGGATACAGGGAAAGAACTTTGGTTTGGGGTTAGAACACTTTAACTCAAATATTGACTCAGCTGCTTGCTCCTGGGGTGGCAATGATCAAGCTACTTCTCTGCATCTCACTTCAAATATCTGTAAGTTGAGGGAATTGGAATAGATTAAGGAACATGGAATTAGAGAGCTGAGAGGGAACCTCAATATCAGTCTAGTCTATCTTGGACACAAAAGGAATCTCCCCTATT